CGCGCAATCTTTAAAGGCACATAACTCAATAACTACAGTAGCAATTAGAAAACTACGAACTACAAAAATATGTAAAATAAAAGTTTAAACATTTTTTAGTTTACTTTTTTTGTGTAGCTACAGTCGTTTTCGAGTTATGTGCCTTTAAAGATTGCGCGCCGCCTCCCCTCCTCCCTCGACAAGGGGGCGGGCCAATTTTAAAGGTGCATAACTCGAAAACCAAATAAGCTAGAACAAAACTATAAATTACAAAGTTGTGTAAAATAAAATTTCAAATATTTTTGTAGTTTACTCTTTTTGTGTAGCTACAGTATTTTTCGAGTTGTGCGCCTTTAATGCTGAAACATCTCTTCTCACCTCCACCTAGTGGGCGTGCCACCTTCAAAGGCGCATAACTCAAAAACTACAGTAGCTATCAAAAAGCAATAAACTACAAAAATGTATCAAATAAAATTTTGAAAATGTTGTAGTTTACTCTTTCTGTGTAGCTACAGTAGTTTTCGAGTTATGCGCCTTTAAACCTCGCTTACCTATACAATGCCATTGTCAACGAGCTCTTTCCGGATCCCGTCCTTCCAATAACTCCAATCCTCTCTCCTCCATGAATTTTCAAATCGATATTCTTCAAAACCAATGGTAGATTCTTCCGATATCTCATTGAAAATCCTTCCAGCTCGATTTTCCCCTGATCCGGCCAATTTTGGTCCAGTTTTTCAGAATTTTCCACCTCCCACGGTGCTTCTGGCTCCAATTTTTGATATTCATTGACACGTTCAACGGAAACAATGTTGGATTCAATCTCGCTGACACTTCTGACACAAATATTGAGCACTTCTGTGATAGTTAGAGCGTAGGACACTGATAAGCCAGCCATTCCAGGTGTCAATCCGAAGTATTTGGTGGATAAGGTGGCTGAGAGGGAGGCGAAGAGTACTGTAGTGTTCCCGAGTAGCTCCAGACGAGTAGCCAACCATCGATTCGACATATGGGAGAGATATCTGCACTGGGCGAATTTATCCACATTGGTTGATAAGGCGGTTGTGGTGCGTTCGGTCTGGAAAACCATATTTCGTTGGAAATCGTTGAATAGAAGCTCAATTTTGGGATTTTAGTTGTCACTTTGAGTTTGAATTTGCTATAATTAGCTTTGAAATCAAAAATTACATCATCTAGTTTTTAGAAAACTGAAATTGACCGTCGAAAAGCTGAGATAAGCCTCCTGGAAGCTGAGAAACAGTGGTTTTAGAAAATTCCAAATTTTCTCTTATTTCCCATTTTTCAAATACTTAAAATTTTAGCTTATTTTGTAGCTTTTGAAAAGTTACACAATTTTATTTTTGGAATTTTTTGATTTCTCATTTTTAAGCCGAGTTATGCGCCTTTAAAGTTAGCGGCCCGGGGCGGAGAGACGCAGATTTTAGGGTATTTCTGGAAAATCCAAAATTTCCCTAAAATTTCAGAACGTAGTCTATAATTTTTTACCATTTTGTAGCTCTTGAAAATTTACACATTTCAAGCTTTTAACATTTTTAGATTTCTTAATTTGGAAAAAGGTTATGCGCCTTTAAAGCTGAGTTACAGCAATTTTTTGGATATCCCCGGAAAATTCCAATTTTTGTCTATAATCCCATTTATTAAATTATTCATGTTTTATACCATTTTGTAGCCCTTGAAAAGTTACACATTTCAAGCTTTTGAAACTTTCAGATTTTTTAATTTGGAGCTAAATTATGCGCCTTTAAAGTTAGCGGCACCGCGCGCCAAAGAGAGACACAGAGGCGAGAGCACTCTCGTTTCTCTCTCTTCTCACCTTTAAAGGCGCATACCTCAGACAATTTAATTGAAAAATATTTGAAATTAAAAATTACATCCTCTTGTTTTTTAGAAAACTAAAATTTACAACCTAGAAACTGAAATATGCTTCTTGGAAGCTGAAGAACAGGGGATTTCAGGATATTCTCAGAAATTCTGATTTTTCCCTGGAATTCAATTCTTAAAATATACCACATTTCATAATATTTTGTAGCCCTTGAAAAGTTACACAAATCAGTTTTTGAAAATTGCAGATTTCTCAATTTTGAGGCGAGTTATGCGCCTTTAAAGAGAGGAGAGACGCACTCTCGTTTCTCTGCGTCTCTTCTCAACTTTAAAGGCGCATAACTCGTTAACCGTTTTAGCTATCAAAAAGTTGTCAACTACAAAAATGTTTAAAAATTTATTTTACACATTTTTGTAGTTTATAGTTTTGCCCCAGCTCTTCTAGTTTTTAAGATACCTTATCAAATGCTCGAATCGACGATGCACCATGTATCGATTCGGCGATAGTCGATAGAATCGGTGATCTGCTTGCACTTTCCAGACGTTTCAGCTGTCTAGACGTGGGAATATAGTAGGTCATGACAAAATAGTAGATCAAAATTAAAGGCGCAGCACAGAGCAAAAAAATCGGTGTGGAGATGGAGATAAGGACAAGGATCATGCATGCGTTCAGCAGGGTTTGTGTACACATTCGGATGTTGTCCTGAAGTTTGTCGATGACGTCAAGATCCTGAAAATAACATATTTGAATTTGTCGTAAAAATGCTTCAAAATGAGTCTAAACACGACTAGGCTCCGCCCATTTTGAACATTTGACTTTAAAGGCGCATGCGCCTTTGAATTTTTGAGAAGTAGGTCACGTGAGCGGAGCCTAGAACACTTGAAACTTGCATTTTTAATTTTTCACATCTTGAGCTTCAAAATGAGTATAATCACGGCTAGGCTCCGCCCACCTTCAATTTTTGGACCCATATGTGCCTTTAAAGCCGAAAATTCAAAATCACCCAAACCTACCCGTGTTTATACTCATTTTAAAGCAAATTTTACGCTGATCCTAAATCTCTTATTTCCAAGTTTATTGGAGCGGATTTACTCACCCTGGAGAGCCGATTGATGATTCGGCCAACGGGTGTGGTGTCGAAGAACGAGATTGGGGCACGGAGAAGAGCATGGATTAAAGGCGCATGAAGTCCGTAGGAGGCTTTCAGGCTTCCAGCAGTTAATACAACGAAAGCCATCGCCAATAGGAACACTGAAAGTTAGAGATTCTTGAAAAAAAAGGGTTCCAAAAATTTAAAGGCACATAACTAAAAAAGCTAGAAAGAGACTACAAACTACAAAAAAGTGTGAAATTAAATTTCAAACATTTTTGTAGTTGACCAATTTTTGATAGCTTAAACGGTTCGCGAGAAATAAGCCTCCAAGTTAGAGGAGAGACGCAGAGAAACGAGAAGGCTCTCGCTTCTCTGCGTCTCCCTTAACTTTAAAGGTGCATAACTTGGCTCCAAATTGAGGTATCTGAAATTTTCAAAAACTGAGCTGTGTAATTTTTAAAGGGTTACAAAATGGTACATAAATTAAACACTTTGACAAATGGGATTATAGAGAAAATTGGAATTTTCTAGGATATTCTAAAAAGTCTCTTTCTCTCAACTTTAGAGACTTACAACCTGCGGACCGTTAGAGCTATTGGAAAGCTACAAACTACAAAAATGTTGAAAACTTGATTTTGAACATTTTTGTAGCTAAAATTTTTTGATAGCTCTAACGGTTCGCGAGATATGAGCCTTTAAAATCTGAAAAGAGAACAGCTAACTTTAAAGGCACATAACTCAAAAACTACAGTAGCTAGCAACAAACTACAAACTACAAAAATATGTAAAACTAATTTTAATACATTTGTGCAGTTAAAAGTTTTCCCATATCTATCACGGTTTGCGAGATATGTGCCTTTAAAGTAAGCGAGGCGCCAAAGAGACGCAGAGCACTCTCGTTTCTCTGTGTCTCTCTGCAGGCGTTGGCTTTAAAGGCGCATAACTCGCCACAAAATTGAGCGATCTTAAAATTTCAAAAGTTTAAATTGTTTAACTTTTCAAGGGCTACAAAATGGTAAAATTCAATCTTCTAATTGTTTGAAAATCAATGGAAAAATTGAAGTTTCCAAGAATATCTCAAAATCGCTGTTGCAGACGTTAAAGGCGCATATCTCGCAAACCGTGCAAGCTATTGAAATTTTACAAATTACAAAAATGTTCAAAATTTGATTTCACACATTTTTGTAGTTTGTAGTATCTCTTTAGCTTTTATGGTTTTTGAGATATAGCTGATTTTCTAAAATTGATTTTTTTTTCTTCAAAAAACTCACTCTCCAAACCACCAAAGCTGGCGTAGACTATCAGCCGCGTCTCCACACTCATTGGAAGATCCGTGGAATTGTAGGCTCCGCCCCTTTTCTTGATTTCCGCATTCTCATTTGACCAGTTGGATAGCCATAATGATCGGAGGATCATTACAGAAAAATGAGCAATGAAGAAAATCAAAAAAAGTGAGGAATTGGAAATTCCCATTGTCTGGATGTACAACTTATAGACACTCTTCTTGACACGACCCAATTGCACATTTTCAGCATTTTCAGCTTTTTCGGATTTTTGAATTTTTTCGGATTTCTCTGAAAAATGCGAATTGGCTCGGTCCACTTTTTTGGCAGCACGAGGGGTGTCTTCTGGAGGTGTGACGTCTTCTTCAAAATCCTCAGAAGAATCCTCTTGATCTTCTGAATTCTCACATTCGGCCCAAAGACGGCCGAATGGGCCTTCGAGATGAGCAATGTCCTCGAAACGACCGTGTTGAACGATTAGACCGTCTGAAAATTAATTTTCCAGAAGTTTTGAAACAAAATAAATGTTAGACTTGAATTTTTGACGTTGAGAGCTTCAAAATGAGCCCCAACACGACTAGGCTCCGCCCACTTTGAGTTATCGACATTAAAGGCGCATAGGGGGTCCGAAAATTGAAAGTGGGCGGAGCCTAGCCGTTATTATACTTTTTTCAAAGCTCTAAAAGTCACAAATTTAGTTGTTGGAATTTTATCCGGGTAAAACTAAAACTGACCAAGTTATGATCAAAATTAGTTTTTACACTAAAACTGCCTAAAATGTTGTTTTAATCGTAACTCGGTCAGTTTTCAAATAATCTAGAATAAACTTAAATTTTCAAATTCGCCAGGTTGAGAGCTTTAAAATGAGCCTAAACACGACTAGGCTCCGCCCGCTTTGAGTTTTCGACACTTTTCAACTTTAAAGGCGCATAGGGGGTCTGAAACTTTGAATTTTTGAAAAGTAGGTCATGTTTATACTCATTTTGAAGTCAACAATTTGGGAAATTCAAAAATTTATGTTCAGTTGAAAAACCTTGCAAATTACGAAGGTTATGGGGAAAACAAGATTTTGGACAATTTTCTGAAATTTTAATATTTCCTCATAACTTGCTTAAATTCCAGAATTTTGAATTAAATTAAAAACTTTTTTTGAATTTAACATGTTGAGAGCTTCAAAATGAGCCCAAACACGACTAGGCTCCGCCCATTTTCAATTTTCGACATTTTTCGGCTTTAAAGGCGCATAGGGTGTCCGAAAACTTAAATTCAAGGAATGTAGGTCATGTTTATACTCATTTTGAAGCTAAAAACATGTGAAATTGAAAAATCAAAGTTTTATTTGAAAACCTTGGGAAATGAAAAAGTTATAGGGAAAACAAGATTTTTTAAATTTTTCTGAAAATCTTATTTTTCATCATAGCTTTTTCAATTTAGGAATTTTTTCAAATAATCTGTTGATTTTCCGGTTTTCGGTCGGTTGAGAGCTTCAAAATGAGTGTAAACATGACCCACTTTCTTAGATTTCAATTTTAAAGGTCCCCATCCCTTTAAAGTCAAAAAATCAAAATGGGCGGAGCCTAGCCGTGATTATACTCATTTTGAAGCTTTCAGCAAGCTGAATTCAAAAATTTAAGTTTCAAGTCTCAAACCCCAAAATAAAGAAACATGCCTTCAATAACAAAAATGCTATCCACATGTCTGGTATACTGTAGATTATGAGTAACAAGAACCCTCGTTTTTGACTTTAGTAGGCCTTCTGGACCAATCACTTTATCAAAAAGTGCTCTTCCGACGTGTGCATCCACAGCTGATAACGGATCGTCGAGTAGATAGATCTCCTTGTCCTGATAAACCGCTCGAGCAAGAGAAATCCGCGCTTTTTGCCCTCCAGACAGTGTTATACCCTATGAAAATCTTATCATTTACATATCAAACGATAGAGCTTAAAATTTCACACATTTTTGTAGTTTAAAATTTTTTGATATCTGTAACGGTTCGCGAGATATGCGCCTTTAAAGTCTGCGACAGCGATTTTGAGATATCCTAGAAAATTCCAATTTTTCCCTTTAATCCCATTTTTCAAAGTATTTAATTTGTGTACCATTTTGTAGCCCTTTAAAAATTGCACAGCTCAGTTTTTGAAAATTTTAGATATCTCAATTTTGAACCAAGTTATGCGCCTTTAAAGTTAAGGGAGACGCAGAGAAGAGAGAGCCTCTAACTTGGAGTCTTATATCTCGCAAACCGTTTAAGCTATCAAAAAGTTGTCAACTACAAAAATGTTTGAAATTCAATTTTACAATTTTTTGTAGTTTGTAGTTTGTTGCTAGCTACTGTAGTTTTTGAGTTATGCGCCTTTAAAGTTGGCAGTCATCTTCTCAGACTTTGAAAGCTTATATCTAGCGAACCGTTAGAGCTATCAAAACATTTTCAACTAGAAAAATGTTGGAAATTTAATGTCTCGCATTTTATAACATAAAAATCTTACATTCTCCCCAACCATGGTCTGTTCTCCCTGCTGAAAGTGTCTGAAATCAGGTCTCAACTGACACGCGCCAATCACGTGATCATAAAAGTTTTTGCTGTGCTCGTTTCCGAACAAAATGTTCTCTTTTATGGATTTATTGAAAATCCAAGAATGTTGAGGGACATATGCAATTGAGCCGCCCACTTTGACACGACCCTCCAAGAGGACCATTTCATCTAGAATCGCGCTTAAAAGCGACGATTTTCCACCTCCGACACTTCCGACGATCGCGATCAGTTGGCCTGGTTTGATGGTCGCGGAGAGCTGAAATTTAGAATTTTAGGAGTTTAAATTATGTAAAATTTAACGCTCTACATTTTACTAATTTACAACTTTTTTCTAGCTACTGTAGTTTTTGAAATATGCGCCTTTAAAATTGACGCGTCGTCTCCTCTGGAGAAGGAGGGAAGGGGGAGCGGAGGCGCGCCAAAGTTTTAAGGCGCATATCTCTTGAACTACTGTAGTTAACAAACTTTTAAAAATTGTGAATTATAGTACATTTTATTTTCTTCCAAATACGGTTTTAAAAATTTTGCTAGCTACAGTAGTTCAGGAGATATGCGCCTTTAAAGAAGCAGCACCTATATATGAGAATAATGGCGCAGAAAGAGTACGCATTCTTTAAAGGCGCATATCTCAAAACCTACAGTAGCTAGCAAAAAGTTGTAAATTAAAAAATTGCTCAACATAAGATTTCACACATTTTTCATTTTTAAAAATTTTGATAGCTTTGATGGTTCGCGAGATATGCGTCTTTAAACCTAGCCCTTCCCCTTAGTCACCGGGCGAAGAGGCGCGCCAATGTTTAAAGGCGCATATATCGGCTCAAAATCTAGTAAACTTGAAAATTCAAAACTTGAAATGTGTCATTTTTAAAGGGCTTTAAGAAAGTATTAAATTTGTTAGTGTGTTCTCAATTTTTTTTGGTGTAAAAAATGCCCAGTTTTAAACAAGTCGTCCGTATCCGTCAAACACCTTCAAACTTTCAAAAATTCAATTTAAAGATCAAAAAGGTCAGAAACGATACTTACATCTTATCTAGAGTGTCTGTGACATCTCAAATACCACCATCCATCATAAAAGCCTAATTATGTACTAATTGGACTGTCACCTGTTGAGATTCATTATCTCAAAGTCTCTTGGCTCCTGGGAAGATCTTACTGGAAAAGACGCAGCCTCATGAACTACTGTAGTCATCGAAATGCGATAAATTGAATCAGGAAGAACATGACAGTTTCTATAATTCACATGCTGCAAAATTCTACTAGCTACCGTAGCTTTCGAGGTATGAAGCTAGCGAGCAATAAATGGGGAGGAGATGGTTGGGGGGGGCGCGGCCAGCTTTAATGGCGCATATCTCGCGAACCGTTAAAGCTATCAAAATTGTAAAAAATGCAAAATGTGTAAAATCTTATGTTGAGCAATTTTGTAATTTACAAAACTTTGCTAACTACAGTAGTTTTTGAGATATGCGCCTTTAAAGAATGCGTACTCTTTCTGCGCCTTTATTATCTAGGTGCTGTTTCTTTAAAGGCGCATATCTCCTGAACTACTGTAGCTAGCAAACATTTTAAAACTGTATTTTGAAGAAAATTAAATGTACTATAATTTACAATTTTCAAAACTTTGCTAGCTACAGTAGTTTTTGAGTTATGCGCCTTTAAAGTTGGGGGCGCCATCCTATATGATATTTTTTGGGAGTGATCTACAGTAGTGATCTACCAAAACGGGGGGTTTCAAACTGTTTTAGATCAAATTTTGGATTTTCTAGGACTATTTTTGACATGTTTCAAGTCATTTTTGAACTATTTTAAGCCATTTTCGACTTATTTTGAGCACTTTTTGAGCTCTTTAAGTGATTTTTTCTTATTTTAGTCGTTTGAGAGTGATTTCTAGACCGTTTTAAACGAATTTTTGAGATTTTAAGATTATTTTTGAGCCTTTTTAGAGTAATTGTGACCAATTTCAAGCTATTTTAAGTCATTTTCGACCTACTTTAAGCTATTTTTGGCTGGAAATTTGGCATTGTGCCAGGTTTAAAGCAATTTCCTTAGGCTGATCTTTCTCCTAAAACCAATTATCTGACTATTTTCTTTCCACGGCTACCGTAACCCTCTATCTGTCCCAGCTACCCATTTTCCGTTGTTCCTTGTGCATCCCAGTCCTTTGACTAGCCTCTAAGGGGATTTGCGACCCTGCGTATCCGTCAGACGGGTCCTGGGGACTCTACGATCCTCCCTGCGGGCCCTACGTTAGGGCGCCTACCTTAGACACCCTGTGTTAGAATCGAACCCCTGGGAAGGTCCGCCTAGCCACCCAAGTATGGCAGAAAAAACCCAGGTGGGTTTAGACTCCGCCCACTGGAGATGAGGGGTATATAAGGAGAGGGAGATGGGGCAGAACGTCAGTCATCTCATCGTTTTCTTCTTTTTCTCTTTTCTTCTTTCTTGGAAAATCCATAAATCTTTTTTTTTTTTTGGCCTTGACCGCGTAGCTATAGCTGTCTCAAGCTAGTTTATGCTGGTTTAGGCTAGCTTAGACTAGTTTTAGCTAGCTTATTTTGGTCTAGGCTAGCTTAAATTAGCTTAAGCTAGCTCCATACCTTTCATATAGCTCGACCTAATGTCCCTTAGACTAGCTTCTATCTCTAATGCTTTTTATTCTCTTTTTTTCTTATTTCCCGCTTTATACACCTTCCTAATGTCCCTTTAATTTCAGCTAACTTGAAATTCTCCAACATCATCATGTCTTCTACCGAACAAGGAACGTCTTCTGCTTCCCCTGCTGAACCAACCACTGCCCCAGAATCTGTTGCTGCTCCAGAAGCCCCCGAATCGTTCTACTACGTTCACGGCAAAGACAAGGTCGTCATCAAAGTCAGTGCTGGCGCCCTTCAACACTCTGCCCTGATCGATGGAATGATTTCCAACCTCGGCTACACTGAGGAACAAGCCAAAGCCAACCCATTCCCATTCGACAACATTGACGGAGACATTCTCAAGATCGCAGTGGAGTGGTGTGAGCATCACAAGGGGATTCCAACGCCTCCAGAAGATACAAGCCTCCAAAACAGGTCAACGTTCCAGAATGGGATCAGAAGTTCTTGGAGGGAATTGATAAGGATGGGAAATTGTTTGACTTGGTCATTGCTGTTAATTATTTGGAGATCAAGGAGTTGCTGACCTATTGCTGCAAGCAGGTGGCCATGATGATTAAAGGGAAGTCTCCAGAAGAGATTCGCGAGATTTATATGATTCCAACTGATGAGGAGGATGCGGCGGCTGAGAAGGAGGCCAAGGAGAGGGCCAAGAAAGAGGCTGCTGGAGAGACTGCTGCTGCTGGAGAAGGAGAAGCACCATCTACATCCGATGCCAAATAATTATTTGAATTTGAATTTTCTTACTTACCCCCTAGTACCTTAAACCGTACGCCCCTCTATTTTTCCCCTTTTTTAGAACATCAATAAATTTTTCTTGTCATATCTTCAAAACTAAAACAGCTAGATAAAAATGGTCAACTTACAAAAGATAGAACTTGAAATTTTACACATTTTGGTATTTTTATCTTTTTGTTAGCTCAACCGGTTCGTGAGATATGCGCCTTTAAAGTTACCCTGTGCACTATTTCAAAGGGGCTCTCGCTTCTCCGCGTTTTTAAAGGCGCAAAAGTAGTGCTTGAAGAGTTACACAATTCAAGTTTTTGAAATTTTAAGATTCCTCAATTTTGAGCACAATTACGCGCCTTTAAAGTTAGCGGCGCCAGAGAAGACAAGCGAGAGTGATCTAGCCTCTCTGCGTCTCCACATTGTGGGCGCGAGCCAGGCCTGTGCGGCAACAAAATTTTTTCGGCAACGTTCGGCAACTCGGCAATTGCCGAAAAAAAATTTCGGCAATTTTCGGCAACAAAAGTTTTGCGTCTTTTTTCAGTAAAATCGATACGTAACTTACCTGAAAATGCTTCTACTGTCTACTCAATAAAAACGTGGGAAAAATCTAGAAAATTTGATTTTGAACATTTTTTCAGTTCGCAATTTTTTTCTAGCTACCGTAGTTTTGGAGATATGCGCCTTTAAATTGGGCAGGCCTCTTGGTAAATTTTAAAGGGGCCATATTCTCAAAAAAACTCAGTAGCTATTCACAAAGTGTCAACTAGAAAAATGTTCCAAATTCAATTTTCTACATTTTCCTGGTTTTGGATTTTTTCTAGCTTCTCCCCTTTTCCAGAAAAATCTATTTTTCCAGGTCACTCTCGCGATGACTCTCCTCGCCATAACCCTGGGGTGGGCCGCGGTGGCTGGTGTCATTATTATGATTTTCTACATTCCTATGAATTTTTTAACCGCGAAATTTATCAAATTATCACAACAGAAGCAGATGAAGATTAAGGATGAGAGAACCAAGTTATCGAATGAAGTAAGTTA